TAAAGTTATTATAACTATTTTAAAAGAGATTTTACTTATTATAAATCTAGTCTTATTAAAGTTATAGATATTATTATTATATATTCTATATTTTATATTATATTTTAAATAAAGGAAAACTTTATACGATATATATCTAGATCTTTATAGAAAACCTTTTAATTATCGATTTTTTAATTAAAACGCGTTTAATTTTAGGTTATTATTATATAAAGTTTAAAGCTTAGTTTATTCCGACGCGTTATATACTATAGTTATAAAGAAGCTAATTAGCTATTTCTTAAATACTACTTAAGTATAGTAGAATTAATTATATATCTAGATTAATAATATATTATATAATACTTTTCTCTTTATATAAGTTTTTTTTTTAGGTAGTTAGATATTATATTTCGTAATTTAGCTATAGAATCGTTTTTAGAAGATTATTTAAGATACTTTATAAATAGATATAGCCTTTTATATACTTAATTTTAGGTTAGATTAAAGTATATTTAGTATAAGAACTAGACTACTTTTATTTACTTATTATACTATAGTACCTATTTACTTATAGACTATATTATACTTAAATAAACTTAATTATAATACTTAACTTATTTACTTTTAAAGAAATTAAATAACTTAAAGAAGAAATAATAAGGTATTAATAATCTAAGTAAAGCTATCTAGGTAAGTATTAATAATAGAATATAACTATTAATAACTAAGTTAATAAATACTAAATATAGAAAAAGAATAATAAGGAACTCTTAAGAAGTAACCTTTATAATAGTATATACTTAAATAAAAACTACTTAACTTATATTAAATAATAGTAAGATTATAAAAGTACTTAAACCTTAGTACTTATTAATAAATAGAAAAGAAAATAATTAAGTAGCTTAATAAGATACTTTAGAACTAATAACTTAATATTAGCTTAATATATAAATAAGTAGTAAATTACTTAACTATAGTAAGGATAAGATACTTATTAATAATAAGCTTAGGAGAAACTAAGTAACTTTACTTAATAATTAGATTAAAGTATTAAATACTTAAATTAAAAGAAGAATTAATATATAAGATAACCTTAAGGGAATTTATAAAATAAACTAGGAATTTAAAAGAATAAGTAAAATTAAGGAAGAAGAAATTAATAAATACGATCCTAAGAAGGAATAATAACTTTAGAAGATTACTTAATATTAATACTTTAAATAAGTAAATTACCTTATAAGTTAGAAGAACTTAATTAAATTAAAATAACTATATAGATATAGCTTTATAAGATATAGTTAGTATTAATAATATTAATTTTAATAAAGACTAAGAATAATAAGATAAATCTAATACTTAATAAAGATCTTTAAGTATTAAGAGATTAAATCTTATATAATAATTAATAATTATATTCTTTAAGATACTAGTTAAAAAGAGAAAATATATTTTAAATTAGCTATTTAGTTAAAAAACTACTTAATCTTACTTTAATATTAGAAATATTATAGCCTATTTTAAAGATAGTATATTATTAATAGTTATAATTATATATTATTAATAAAATATATAAGTTTTATTTTTATAAGTAAAGTATTAAACTTATTACATAAGTATATACTAAATTTAAGCTACTTATAAGATCTAGTAAGATATAAAAAGAAAGAAGGTAGTACTATCCTTATATCTAATTATAAGTATTTAATAAGATCTTAATATAATAAAATAATATCTTAAGAAGAATATACTTAAGATATTTATAAAGTATATTATAAGGAAAAGTTATAAGCTTAGAGACTAGCTTAATAAGAAGTAAAAGGTAAGGGGAAGAAAACTAACCTTACTAATTTATATAGAAATAAATTTAGAGAAAAGAAGTTATTAAAATAAGTAAAGTATAAGAATACTTAAAGGGTAATAATAGTTTAATATACTATTATAATAATAAATAGTTGTTATACTAAAATCCGTTATAATATAAGGATTATAATAATATATATTTTATACGCATAGACCTAAGAAATATCTAACCGTTATATAACTAATAAAGTATAATAGGCATAACTAGTTAAACCTTATATTATAACCTTAATTAACTAATAGGGAAAGTCCGATTTACCTAATAGGGAGGTCTGTTTTAACTACTATTAATACCCTACCTTTTCCCTGCTATAGTTAGGAATAATTAAGTAATTATAACATACTTTAATATAACTACCTATTTACCTTACTATTTACAACCTCTTATTCTCTCTTCTTAAGTATCTTATAATAGTTAATTAGTTATCCTTATACTAGTTACTATTATTCTTATATAAAGCTACTCTTAGAAGAATAAGAAATAAACTCCTAGGAAAAGTCTCTATATATAACTAAAATAACGATATATACCTATATATTATTATATACCTCGGAGGTTATACTATAGAAGCTTTATTTAATTTAGAAGCTTAAGGGAATTTTATATTCCCTTAAATTATATAAGAAAGAGGAATACTATAAGATAAGAAATAAAATGCTTACTTATTAAATATAGTAGAAGGAAAAAAAGTTAAGTATAGTAAAGGTATTATTAATTTAGAGATAATACTACTCCTTCTAATTTACTATAGCTATTAAGAATATATATATTTAATATTATTAAGATAAGATAAAGTAAAGTTATTTTTAAAATCTTATAACTAAGAAAGAATAATCCTTAAGTAGATTAGGAAATAAGCTAATTATATATAACGATCTAGCTTTTAAGTAATGCTTAATAAAGCCTTTATATAGATTACTAGTAGTATAAAGGATAAGACTAGATTATTAGAATATAGTATATAGAATTATAAAGTTAAACTTAAGAAGTAATATAAACCTACTTTGAGTAAAATTTATCCCCTTAATTAAGAAGAAATAGATACTTTTAATAAATAGCTAGATAAAAACCTAGCTAAAGGATTTATCTAACCCTTATACTAGCTAGATACTTAATACTTTTTATATTAAAGAAAAATAATAAGAAACGATTATATATAAATTATTAGAAGCTAAATATAATATTATTAAAACTATATTTATTACTTTTAATTTAAAGTTAAGAGATTTATTTTATAAGACTTAATAGGTTACTACCTTAGATTTTAAAAAGCTTAAACCTTATTTAAATAGCTAAAGGAGATAAATAGAAAGTAGCTTTTAAGATAAAATAAGAATAGTTTTAAATACTTATTATATTATCTAGACTTGTTAATATACTTACTACTTTTTAAATTATAATTAATTATATACTTTAGGAATATCTAGATAAATTTAATATTATTACCTAGATATTATCTCTATATCCTTAAAATATATAAAGAATACTATTAATATATTTACTATATTCTTATAATATTATAAAAAGCTAAATTACTTATAAAACTTAGCAAAAGCCTATTTTATAAATAAGAAGTAAAACTATTAAGATTTATTATTATACCTAGATAAATTAAGATATTAATAAATAAGGTTAAAGCTATTAGTAAGGGAATTGATAGGGACGCATCACGAATTGATAGGGACGCATCATCCTTAGGGACGCATCACATTCTAAGGTTGTGATTGGCTCAAAATTTTATTGTTAGTGCATCCGAATTCTGCCATCATCTAATGAAGTATCTTTCTTATCTTCTTAGCCCATCCCTTCATAACTACGAAAGCGCATTAGACATATTCAATTTATTCTCCTTTACAACGTCAAGATGTCTACCTCTACAAGTCAATCAAGGCCCCAATCGCGTCGCCGACCCAGCAGCTCTAGTATATACAATCAATTGCCTTCTCCCAAGCGCTAACGCCGTGCTATCTCAGTTAGTAGTGATGCCACTATCAGTCAATTCTATGGGGCTGGCGATCGTGAGGGTCAACCTGACCTAATCTCTGAGATTCCACCTGAACAATTACAGCAAGATTCCGACACAAGCTACAACCCCCAGGGAGATGAATTATATCTTCTATGTTCCTTTCCAAAGGGGACAATACGTATGCAGCGTACAATTTTACCTGAACGTCAACCAAAAGAAAGCCAATTAGTATTACAACCTGAAAATCAACCCTTACAACCTACTTCAGATCAGTTCTCTACTGTTCTAAGCCTCATTCAAGAGGTTGTTGGGACAAACCGACGTCTTACGCGTGCTCTCCTCCAACAATGTGAACGCGTTCGTCGATATCGTGAGGCTTGGGGCTACTCACCACACCCTTCAGACATATCCTCAATCGGCGAGTCTCCTCCTCCTCCACCTTATTCACCTCCCCGACAAAGCCCAGAAGTGATAGCGATACCATCTTCTCCAAGTACTTTATTCCTTACTACAAGCGAAAGGTCGAAATCACCTACCCCCGAAACTATTCCAAACCCACCGATCCCTAGCGAACCAGAAGCAACAATTGAAACCCTCCTCGACCGAGTTAATAAATTTGCAAAAGAGCATGGATTTGGGATTGCAAAGTATAATAGATGCTATCGTAAAGGACGTATAATTCGCTATACACTTCGTTGCGATCGATTTGGGCTACCAAAGCGAGGTAGAGGTGCTGGCATCCGAGCCCGCGCATCTCGGAAGTGTGATTGCCAATGGCAAATTATTGCTGAAGCAATAGAGGAGGGGAAATGGCTTTTACGTCAGCATTCCAACCCAATACACAGCCAGCATAATCATATCCCTAGCTTAGCATCATCTGCACACCCAGCCTATAGGAGGTTGACTGAGCCTATTAAGGATGCAGTTGAGACTACTAGTCGGCGGGTTGGTATTCGGGCACGCGACGTAGGTACTATTATTCAGGAGCAGTTTCCTGAATCTGTTTTCACCCAGCGGGATATCTATAACGCTAGAGCCCGAATCAATCGCGAAAAGCTTAATAGGTATATACCAACTGCAACTCTAATCAAGCTTTTTGATGAGCGGGAGATCCCTTATATTGTGAAGTAGGCGGATGATGAGCCGAATCGGCTTGTTGGGCTTGTCTGGACGTTTCCATACTCTCTCCGGATGTGGAAGCGGTTCCCCGAGGTTATCAGCTTTGACAACACCTATAACACCAATCGCTTCAAGCTTCCACTCTTCCAAGCTACAGGGCAAACATGTCTTGGATCGGTATTCAATGCAGCATTTAGTCTCATTGATAATGAGAGACTAGAGGGGTTCCAGTTCTTATCGCAGAGTATCTTACAACTCATTAATCAGAACTCTATTCGCCAACCAGATGTTATTATCACCGACTACGACAGACAGATGAAGGCAGCTCTTAACGAATACTTTCCGAATATGCAACAACAGCTTTGTATTCACCATATCAACTCAAACGTTATGCTTAAAGCCAAGCAGAAGTAGCTTCAAAGCTATTCTAGTAGTAGTAGGTCTGAAGAAGACGATCTAGCTCCACAACCAGTTACTGAACTTAGTGATGAGGACCATGCCTATATCCATACTTCAGTAGATGGGGCTACGCCACATAGCTACCGGGGGGTTCTTATAATGTAGAAGTTGGTTCTATTTGCCAAGACAGAGGATGCCTTTAGGAAAGCATAGGCAAACCTTTGCAAAGAGTTTAAGGACCAACGGCCTATTCTGAACTACCTGCATGGAATATATCTACCACTAAGGGAGCAGTGGGCACGTTATTCTATTCGCCAGTACCGAAACTTCGGCATCCGTGTAACCTCAGGGACGGAATCAAGCAACAACAACATCAAGGGCTATCTTCTTAATGGACTTAGCCACCTATATCACTTAGTTAATGTAATGCAGGATATGCTTAAGGATCAAGAGGTTCGCTTCAAGCAAGCTTGTGCACAGGATGAGATCCTCACAAGCCGTGAGTTTATAGGGAACAGATCTGAGTACCTTGGGGAGCTTCGAACAATACTCTCATCGCAGTGTCTTGGTTTGATTACGAAGCAATACCGTCTGGCAAAGAAGGCTCTACTAACAGGTAGAAATCCATTTCCAGCGCCTCTTGGAGACTGCATAGAGGACTATACTGTCTCTATAGAGTATGGTATCCCATGCTGCCATAAGATCTACTCTAAACTTGTAGATGGGGTATAGTTTATGAAGGATGAGGTTCACCCACGATGGCGGCTGCGGGAGTCTTCTTCCCAGGATCCATATCGACGGATCCTTGATCCGAAGATTGCAGGAAACCTCCGTGGCAGACCTAAGAACTCAATGCAGCCAGTCCCATCATCCCTATCATTAAGGGATAGCACCCAATCAAGCAGCCAGCTAGCTAGACAATCACACAGCCAACTACAAAGTCAACAACCTAGCCAATTAGCAGCAGGGCGCAGGCGTGGCAGACCACCAGGAAGCCGTAATAGGATCACCTTAGCAAGGCTTACACAAGAGACAGCCAGTAGCCAGGCGCCAACCTCTTCCCAGCGGCAGACACGAAGCCAAGTAACTACTCTTAGTACTGGCCGATCAACTGGCCTTCGTTCGAATGGAAGAAGATTACAGGCAAGCATCCGTAGGACGAGGAGTCAATGGGAACTACTTAGTAGTAGTGATGAGAGTCTCAAACGTTGAGGGTAGGGGGGGCATTCTTTATTATTATATAAGAGGAAATAGAAGTAGAAATCAATTGAGATTTATAAAAGCCGTTTCAGTTTAGTTTGATAAAACCCAATTTCTCCTTAGAAGGGAAGAAAAAGACCTACCATTTGAGATTTGCAAAAGCGGTCGTTTAGATGGTTTTGCAAATCTCAAATGGGAGGAATAGCCAAGAAACGTAGGCTAGTAGGGCGGGCCGGCTTTATGTCTATGAAACGGAGGCAGGCCTCTTATGGCTGTGAAAAGGTGGGGCGTTAGCAACGCTGGCCTCACCGCCTTCGCCGACTTGTACCTGTGGGTCACCAAAATTTCTAGCCAATCACAACCTTAGAATGTGATGCGTCCCTAAGGATGATGCGTCCCTATCAATTCGTGATGCGTCCCTATCAATTCCCATTAGTAAATAGCTAGTATTAGAAAACCTTAAGGATATCTTAGTATTTTTATAATTTATTAAATTCTATTAAAGATTCCTTAAAAACTATTCTAAAATAACATTACTACTTATAAAACTTATTAAGAAAAATATTCTATAAGAATAGTTAGAAAAATAATAAGAAGTATTTTAAAAAGTAAAAGATTATATTAGCTTAAGACTTATTATTATAATCCTAAATCTAAAAAGCTTTTTAAGCTAGAAACTAACGCCTTAGACTCTACTATAGAAAGATAACTTAAGTAATAAGATAAAGATAGTATTCTATATTTTTATACTTTTTACTTTTAGAAACTCTTACTAACTAAACTAAATTACTAAATCTATAATAAAGAACTCATAATAATTATTAAAGTATTTAAGGAATAGAGGTATTAACTCTTAGAAACTAAGTTATAAGTTAAGATTTATACTAATTATAAGAACTTAATATACTTTATAATATTAAAAGACCTTAATATATATATGTTAGATAGTTAGAATTCCTATCTAAATTTAACTTTAAAATTATTTTTATAAAGAATTAGAAAATAATAAAGCTAATATCTTTAACTAATAATTAAACCTTATAATCCTAGTCTTAGAAGAAACTTAGGTTATCCTTAAGGAATATAATAAAAGACTTATATTAATATAGAAACTTTTAATAGTTAGTAAAGAATTAAGATTATGTAAGGGGTTAGCTAACGAGAGGCGACGCCTACGGCGTGCCCTGCCTAGGCTATCCCTTAAATATGGTTATGTAGCCTAGTCAAGCATAGAGTGCTTAAACTGTTAGATCTTTTAGTCTATTAGTCAAGTAGGCAGGCCACCCCTATCGTTATAGATTAATATAACTTAAAAATAACTTATAACTAAGTTATAAATATTGATATTATATTTATATATAGTTATTAAGGAGTTATAAAAACCTAAAAGAGAATTAAATAATTTTAATATATAAACTATTTATAAAGATATAGCTAAAATAATTAAAGATTATAAAGTCTATATTAAAGGTAAACCTAATAGATATAAACCTTATAAAGAATTATAAGTATTATTAATACCCCTAATATTATAATACTTAATCTTATTAGACTTTATATAAACTATTTTAAAAAAAAACTTCTTTTTAAAATAGAATATAATAATATATTAATTATAATAATCTAATATATTAAATATACTTATTTTATAATCTATTTAGAATTTAATATAATTAAAGACTTAAATATATATTCTTTAGAATTATTATTAGCTAATATAAAATATTATAAGAATTATATCTAATAAGGATTATTCTTTATATCTAAGTTTTAACTAGAAGTAACGTATAAATTTAATACTACTTTCTATTTATAACTAATAAATAAATAAAAAGAATTAATTAAATTCTAGAGATATATCTAAGATATTATATTAACTATAAGTAAGATAATTAAGTTAAACTACTACCTATAGTATAGTTTTATATATAATAATAATAAGAGAAAATACTTAAAATTACTTTTCTTCTCTAACTAAAGATTTAATCTTACTATATATATAGAACCTTAATAAGACTTAGTAGTAATAAAAGCTATTATATTTTTTAAGAAACTTAAGAAAATCTTAGAAGACTTACTAAAGGATTAAGAATTCATCTAATAATAGATAAAGAAATATATAAATAATTAAAAGATAAAGAGACTATTTTTTAAAAGGGAAATAATACCTACCTCCTTAGATATAATATTAAAATAAAGTAAGTTAGAAATAAACTCGATTTAAAAAATTAAGATTTTTAAAATTATAAAGATCTCTAGAATTAACTATAAATTAAGACTACTATATATTATAAAATATTACCTAGTCTTTTCTATTTTACTCTTTATACTAACCTTTAACGAATATATATAACTAGTTAAATTAAATATGTTAGAAGTATAAGTATATTATACTTCTATTTTACTTATTTATCCTATTTAGTCTTATCTAAGACTTAGTAGGACTTACAAAAGTAACTAGCTAAGAATGGCTGCTTGCTAGTTTAAACATATGACATTCAGATCCCTATGGAATACTCTCTTTAACCTTATCTAAAAGTCTATTTAGTTAAAGAAGATTCTAGTCTGATTTATAAGCTGCTTTATAAGCTAGTTGACGTATATACTTACGTATACTAAACCTAGCTTATAGCTTCCTATATTAGCTATTATAGGCGACGTTATACTACTATATAACTAGCCTAATTCTCTCCCTTAGCTAGCTATTAGTTCCTCAACCAACTCAGCTTCAATATAAGCCTATACATTCTTTACTATTAAAGCCCTACTTCATAAGTACAAGTTCCCTTACTCTAATACCCTGTTATAAGGATATCGTACTACCTACGAGATTCCTACCTACCGTTCCAACAAAATAAATATAAAGAACTAGAATATAAAGTAAAGACTATTATAAACTATAATATTAATAAGGAAAATAAGGGATAGAAATACTTTATTAAATAGAAAGGATATAAGTATAAAGATAACTTATAAAAACTTAAAAAATACCTTAGAAATATAAAAGGAAAAGTTAAGGAATTCTAAAAGAAAGTAATAAAAGAAACCCTATTTTAAAAGTAAAAGCCTAATTATAAAATCCTTACCTTATAATACTATATCCTAATTAATTAAGTTATTATAACTATCTACTTATAAACTATTATTATAAAGGATTCTAAGCTTAGAGACTTTAAAGCCTAAACTACTTCTATAAGTAACTTATTTATTATAGATTAACCTTTCTTAAATATTAACCTCTTTTTACTATATAATCTTTTAAGTTAAACTAGCGACTTATCTATTTCTACCTATACCTTATATAAAGCTATAACCTTTACTTTAAATACCTCCTCCTTAGCTATCTCTTTATACTCTAAATAACTAGACTTATTTAGTAAGTAATTTACTAAGAATAGTAATAAATAAAAAATAACTAAGGAAGTAGAAAATAACTTATAAGTATAAATAGTGATACTAATAGTATTATAAAAATAATTATAATAAGTATATACTATACTTCTATAATATTCTATATTTTATATTATAAACCCTTTAAGTAATAGAAAGTATAAACTATAACCTTAAAACTAAACTAAGTAATCTTAAGTAATTAAGTAAGATAACAAAAAGTAGAAGTAAAGATATTATTTCTTTTATTTATAATAATTTATATAATTTATTTATTTTATAATATATTCTCTAAATATCTTTAAGGTTAAGAAGTATATCCTTAAATAGCTTTTAAATACTATTATTTCTTATACTATATATTTAAAGCTTAAGAGGCTTACTTCTATAGTTAATATTATATTATACTTTTTTAAGCTACTTTC